AAATTCTGATCCTGAGACATGACAGGCAGTTAAACCATGCTTTGTGTCGAGTTAAGTCACTATTTTGTTTGAGGTCAAACAATAGTTTAAGTTTGGAGGATTTGATAAGTGTGTTTTACACACTTATTTAGGTCACAAAACATGGAAAATTGTGGATGTATATGTTGAAATATGACTTGATTCAATATAATTGGTGTTTGTAGAATTATATTGATGGATGGAATGAAAAGTATGAGAAAATGAACGAAAAATGGCCAAATGGAAGAATATAAAACTCCGAGAACCAAAATACAATTATTCAAAAGATGACCCGAATGACGAATCAAGCATGATGTTGAGCTAAATAACATATGGTGATATCATGAGATGTTAAAAGAAGAAAGAGAATGAAGCAATGCCAAAAGGTGGATGAAACAAACTTGAAGACCAAAGTGAATCAAAGAGAAAATTATTTCTACTATGTAGTTGCATGGTAGAAAGTCCATGCAGTCGCACAAGCATCTACAAAAGTTGAACAGTGAAAATTTTCTATAACCATACTGTCGCGTGGGTTTATACCATGGAGTCGCATGGTTCAATCTGGGCGCGAAAATTTTGGTTTCCTTATTTCGTTCCAACTCTTATGGAAACCAATCTTTGACAACTATATAAACTCTTAAATTGTACTCAAACCCTAGGCAAATCTGGGAGGAGATTTTTGAAGGTTTTCAGAGAGAAAAAAATGCACCAATAAGAAGAATAACATCACGACGCGAAGATTCAATTCAAGATTATTCAGGGTGATGTCGTTCTTTATCTATTTTTCTGATTTTCTTCTTTCCACCATGCTAGGCTAGATTTATACGTGCTAGGTGAACGATGAACCTTGTGATGTGATATTTTAATTCCTAATTCTACTTTGTTGACATTAAAATGTGTTTTGAATTATTGAATGATTTATATACATCACTTTTTCTCTACAATTATATGCGCAATAGTTGTATGAGTGTGGTAGCCTATTTCTGGCATTTGAAAGAAGGGGAATAGACTCGATAAGGTATAAATCATCGTAGGGTTCGATAGGGGATAGAAATATACTGCTATGCTCTATGTGAATTTCGAAGTGTTTACAAAATGTCGTGCATTCTTGTATATTACACTTGTCATAAAAATATAGTCAAATGATATGTGAAAATATGTTCAATTCTACTCGAGAGAGATTATTG